TCTGCTCTCAGAGAAGCGGCGAGATGACAGGCCTTAACTTGGGAATCCCATCCGTTCGCTTCCGCCAGTATTAAAAATTGTGTCTTATACACTTTCCAGGAAGTCTTTCCATCATACGTGGATAACTTCAGAGAGGGACGAGCAGGCATAGATAAAAACTTAAAACTATCACCATTGCTCCCTGCCGTGGCCACGATTTCTTCAAGGTATTAACTTCTTTGGCGACCACAGTAACCCTGTCGTCAATTTGTTGTTCCGCGGCAGAAACTCTCTCTTCTGTTTGTTTTTTTACAGAAGATACTCTTCTATGTGTCCAAATTTATTTTCAACAGCGTCATTCTGCCTTCCTTCGAATTTGTTACGTAGGTAATTTCTCTTTTTAGTTCCTCTTGACCTGCTTCAATCTTTTCCTGAACAGCCTTCATTTCTCTTTTAACAGCTTTTATCTCTTTTTTTACTGATGCTTGACCAGCTTCCATTTTCTCTTTAACGGATTCTTATCACGCTTTCATTTCTTTTTGGCCCGCTTTCATTTCTTCTTGGTCCGCTTTTATTTCCTCTTTAAACGAGGCAAAGTGTTATATCAACTGCCTTAATTGTTCTTCCATCACTCTTTTATTGGCATTCAAATCCCACTTCTGACCCCAAAAAGTGTTGCTTGCGTACGGTTTCGTAATAAATTAAATGCAAATGTCCGATGAAAGTGAATAAGATTTATTCTTATCCCAAAAATAAATACAAAATGGTTAAATCACAGTAGTTATTTTTTAAACGTTCAACAGAACTTAATTCAAAACAGAGAAAGCTAATCGGATTTCATCGCGAATTCACTACAGTAAATAACAACAATTTTCTAAATAACTGAATTGAGATGTATTCCTCCAACTTTTATAAGCTTTTTAAATGAAATTTCTCGATTTTTCCATATAGTAAGAGCAAATTACGAGATATCTATTATTAAAATGTTAAATGCGCGTGCTCCTGTCTTTTAATTTTTCCGGCGTAGGTTTCTCTTCAAATAAGTCTCGTGCTGCATTGCACGGGAGTATAAAGCAATTTTAACAATTCAATTTAAAAAATTAAAAAACTATGCAAAATCTATAACAATACAAACAAATACAAAATCCGTAACAATACTATTAAAATCTATACGCTTCTATCTGTTTTTGGCATTATCTCCTCCGGAACGGCGAGGAGTTGAGTTTCGAGAGAGGTACCACCCGGACTCTAAAAATTTGTGGGAAGCCATTTCGACCATTCTCATCTTCGTACGCCTTTAATTATTATTATTAAAAACTCTGAAAACGCTAATTTTCTCCCTCATGTTTCCGAGTGGATACAGTCTCGCACGCTGGAAATAATAATCTGCTTTATTTCGAAAAATGTTGGCTGTACTCGCTTTCAAAACGTAGAGTTTGTTAATGACACATTTGTAATGTCGAAACGTTTTCGTTAATGTCAGCATTTTAAATAACTAGCTGCTATTGGCAAAATTTTTGTTTCAGATTAAGATAATTGCCACGGTATGTTATTGCCACGTTAATTCTTTTATTGATATTGAAAAAAAAGTTGTTGTATTACATTAAATTGAAGTCATGACATCGCATCTTAACTTGATGTGTCAAAAGTTTTTGTTTCCTGATTTGGCAGCAAAAAAAAATATTTACGAACTGATTGTTGCTCGAAAAGAATGAACAGATTTCATTCATATGCATTAGATTCTTTATGAATAAGTTCAATCATAAAGAATGAACTCATTTATGATCAACATTTTCCTCTCATTTCTGAAAGGAAAAAGGTTTTATACAATTTTCTTTCAGGTATATTCAGGTATATTTCAGGTATTTCAGGTTTCTTTCAGGAGCTTATAAATTTTGCTTTGGCCGCAGCTCGCTCATCTGGCGGGCTTGCTCACTAGTGTTAATAGACTCCATTAATATAATCAATAGGATGTTAAAAGCCTTATTATTATGATTCACTTTTTCAATTTACATTTTGCGAACAGTTTTTTTAATTAGATTTAAGACCTAAAGAGATGAATGAACGTTTAGGCATAAGTTGCTTTCTTTAGTTATTGTTTACTTTAATTATCATTCATTAATAAATCTTATTCAATTTATTTATTAATATTGCTACGAAATATCCAAGCGCGGCCAGGAAGGTAGGATTGCCCCAGTTGGCGAGAATTCGCCCATTTGGCAACATTTGGCGATATGCCTCGAACACAAGCCGAAAGCTATATACACCCTGCTGGTCCGCAGTCAAGGAGGGAGCCTCGTCAAGTGCGAGTGCGAGATAGTCTCGAGTTAAAGTGTCCGTGAGGAGTCGATCGAGTTGACAGTCAGGCAGCGAGTGCCAAGTGGTTCGTCGAGTGCATCGAAAGAGTCTCTTAGTGTATCGCGCTTAGTGCATTGCCGAGAGAGTGTGTTGAGCTCCGGGAACGACTGAACCGAAGAATCGGGAGCTGTGCTCTGTGTGTCGTCGAGTGCATCGCGAGTTGTAGCGTCGAGAGTCTCGAGAGTACGTGGAGTTCCGAGAACGACCAAGCAGAGTCGGGAGCTGTACTCTGGTGCTTTGCAGTGAAGCTGTCTGGCAGTACCTGGTGTGCAGTGGTGGGTGACCACATAATCCATTCCTGGGCTAAGCTTCATCCCAGTAACTCGGTGTTTCAGGCAGAACTTACAGCCCTAAAGGCGGCTCTGGACTTTACTGCTAACAATGGCAGGTATAAAGTAATTTACACAGACTCAATGTCAAACTTGCAGGCCATCCAAGGCGGCCGCAGTAGACATCCCATTGTCAGAGACATACAAAAACTATTAATTTCGATTCCTGCAAGTCTGAGGCCCCAGCTAAAATGGATTCCGGCCCATACGGGATTAAAAGAAATGAAGCAGCGGATATGATTGCGAAGGGCGCAGCCAATGAACCCCACGTGAGTAGCATTGGTGTGCCCCTTCCGCACTCGTATCTGAAAACTACTCTCAAATGTGAACTAATGAAGCAGTGGCAAAACTACTGGGAGACAAGCACCACAGGCAGACGACTATATGATTTCCAACCAAAAGTTAACCACAATTTAAATAGCAGTTCTTCGCACCTCACACAGTATCTGACAGGGCATACCCATACATGTTCTATCTTCACAGATTTCGCCTAAGAGACAGTGGCCAATGTATTTGTGGTAGTACTGGTGACCCAGATCATTATCTGTTTGACTGCTCGCACACAAGGAATTCACATTTGAAAAGACCAACTGCAATCAATAATCCAGCATGGTTCAAGAACACAATTAAGAATAAATATGCGCTCAGACGCATTAGAGACCGCACTACCATTGCTAAAAGCATTGCTGACAACCTGGAGTGACTTCTTTCCTTGGACACCATGCCGTCAGCAGCCTGTTCTGTACATATATTAATTTACTTAATGTCTTGTGTTTTTTTGTTTGTTTTTAATTATATTTAATATTATGACTAATCCAGAACTCATTTAATGTATTCCATAATTTGTAATGTATTTGGTCATCTTTACATCTGTACCTGATTTTTATAGCACATCCCTAATATAACTGTATGCCTAACATGAACGATAATAGTGAAAAGTGTTCCGCTTAGTCTCAGCAGTCCGCACCATGCACCTTCTTTCCATGTTCTGGTCCTTACTTCAATGTTCCTCGTTTCGTCGCCAATCACCGGAGGACACAGTACTAAGCTCTTTATTTATATTTATTCGTGTATTTTGTTTAATTCCATGGACGGGATCCAACAGGCTGAAAAGCACCTAACCCAGTGGGCCAGCTGTTCCGTCGATGGTGAAAAGAAAAAAAAGTGAAGCTGTCTCCACCGTTATTGCCCGACAGTGTGAAGGCTGTGTCGCTGATTGTTCCAGCGTGTTTATAGTAGATCTTCGATGACTGTAAAAATTGACTTTGGAGCTGTCCTGATTAATATTGGCTAAGTAAAGTCTGTTTTGGTACTTCATCAAGTATCGTCGTTATTGACTCCAAATCCATACGAACTCCGTACGAACTGGTGTCAGAAAAAAAAAAAAAAACGCAACAATATTAATTTACCTTATTAATACAACAAATTATTATTTATTAATAACTAGATTCTTTAGAGACTCGGGGCTTGTTAATATCATATAAAATATTTTTTTATTAAAATTATATTAAATATGCTCCTTTTTTAGGTTACAGTACGTGCCAGGATAAGATTAAATCTGAAAGAAAATATATCATTTCTCAAGGTGTTAAAAATGTACATAGAAAGTATTAGGGTATAATAATTTTTCAGGTGTTCGACATCCTCAGATCACATGGAATAGTATTTAGTTATATTTCAAATAAAACCTTTTGTAAATTATTAAAGTTCTAAAATTTCTTTTTGGCTGTCTAGTACAATAAAATAACAAATGGAACAGTTTCATTTTAATATTCCTTCCACAAGAATTGTTTCCGCGTCTAATGCAAACACAATGATTTCGTGTTTCTAGTTTTTCTTGGTAACCAATATAGTTATTCGTCTCTCGTCGGTTAACATAATAAAGAAGTTAAAGACTTTTGCGGTTGAAGGAAAACAAATAACACTTTTTCTAGTTGTTAACATTTGTGTTGATACCAATGATAAGTATACTCTCTAACTCAGTTTTTTCAGAAGTTTAAAATCGTCTGGAACCCAGACTGTTCTTCTTTAGATGAAGGTGTAATATAAAAGTCAGATTAAAGGAATAATTCCCATGATATTTTAAGCTTAGTAGAAATTTTTGGGTGGTTAAAAGTTTTTGGTGGTTAAAAGTTAGTGAATATTTAGTCTATAAGTAATAAGGTACATGTATTGGAAATCAGCTTTTTCGTATGACTCTTTCATATACCCGAGAGGATATCGCGCGTGTCTTGCGGTTTTCGTTATTTTCAGACAAAACGATAAGAACATTTTATTTCAAAATAAAATTATTAATCCTTTCTGTGCATAAATGCCTGCATATTCGGAAAATATTTTCAAAAACTGTAATTTTCTTCATGGATCCGTAGGTTCTAATCATACCACACGCGCATAAATTTTCGTAGCAGCAAAAGATAAATTTTTCAGTGAAACATTAAACATTTTTTATTTTACAATGTGAAATTGCCGAATGAAATAATAATTGAGTATTTGGCAAAGCTGAAGAAGAAACGGAAGTAAGCAAAAAATTTCTATGGAGTTTTATGTATTTGAAAAGCTGAGGTTTAGTAAAGCATGAGCTGCAAATCATTAATAATTTCATGTAGATTATATAGCTGTTTTTTTGATGTCTTCATTTAATTTTTAGTAAGTAATATTCAACTATTAAAAAGTTAAAGGTGCTACTTTGGTAGACGGTTGCACGGATTTAGGCGATTTTTCTTTTGGCGAGTAATACGACTTATGGTAAACCCATTGCTGGATAAGTTATTTATTGTAACCGATATTTTGTTGTCATTTTATTTTTAAAATAATGCGTTTTATTGTGCATCAATTACGTGTTTTAAATATTATTTATGGCTTCTAAATATTAAAATCAATTTTATTTTGCATTTTTATTTGCAATAAAAATTTTATTGTTTATCATATTTTATGAAATTTTATGTTGTGGATGATGTAATCAACGACGTCACCTTACTTTAAAAGTAATTGGTTTTAATATCTATAAATTTAATCTAATGTTTTAAATTATTATTTATGGCTGTTAAATATTAAAATACAATTTAATTTTGCATTTTTTAAAAAAATTATTTTATTACATAGATTATTAAAATAATTTTAATTCTAGGCGTGATGTAATAAGCTCTCTGATTGGTTATAGAATATTTGTGCATTATCGAGCTGTAATCAGCTCCCTGATTGGTTACTGAAAATTTGTGCATTTCCGCGCCATTTTAAATTTAATTCATATCTTCGAATTCCTTCAAAGATGTCTGTTTCTTTTCTAAGATGAATGTTATTATTGGTAAGTACCAAGAATTATTGGTATCGGAATAAAAAAATTTTCCTTTGAGACCTTATTTTGGCCAGCCTGGCTTTTCAAATCAAAGATTTGTTTACAAATTGTTACAAGGGTCAGAGGAAATTTATTTTAAATTTTTGGAGGAAACCTCGCTAATTGCTTCTTCAATGAAGTGCGAGAAATGTGGATCACAGATGAAGATGGGTAAAAGAGCATATTCCGAGGACGGCCGTATATGGTATTGCGGTCACGGTGGCAGAAGTAATCCATGTAACGGTAAAATAAGTATTAGACATTCCTCCTTTTTTACCGGCAATAAACTTTCAATTGCTGTCATTTTAGCTCTAGTGTACGAAATATTCATGGGTTCTTCGTACGATAGAATTCAATGTGAGCTCGGTATTTTTTCAGAAGCTGTAGCCGACTGGCGCAGTTATGTAACCGACGTTTTAATTAATTTTGTAGAAATTAAAATGGAGAAGATCGGAGGGCCAGGGAAAATCGTGGTGATTGATGAGTCCAAAATCGGGAAAAGAAAGTTTAACAAGGTTCGATTCGTTGAAGGGCAGTGGGTTTTGAGGGAATAGAACGCGATTCAGGTCGCTGTTTTTTAGTTGCTCTGCCAGACAGAACAGCGGATACTCTTCTCGCTTTAATTAAGGATTGGATCGAACCGGGAACCCAGATTATTTCGGACTGCTGGAAAGCTTTATGACCGTTTGAGCGAAGAAGGTTTAATCACTTGCAAGTTAACCATTCGCTCCATTTAGTAGATCCTGAAACCGGAGCTCATACTAACACAGTTGAAAGACAATGGCATGACTTCAAAAATTCTTTGCCGGTTTACAATCGTCGAGGAGATTTTCAAGGATACATAGCCTGGTATTTGTTTAGGAAAATTTGCTCTGCATTGAAATGAGCATCCATATGTTAAATTTCTCGAAATTATTCGAGACATAAACTGGGATGATTGGCATGTACTTCAGGGAGGGGCGGTTAAAGGATCTTCGAAATCTTAAAAACAATACCTATTATTTGGTTATTTTTTTTTCAAATTTTTTTTTTTGTTATTTTTAATCTTCATGATCCATTAATTTGGCTCTAAATTGCTTTTATCTATTTATACATTTTTTTTTTTTGTTTTTTTAAAAATTTTTTTTTTTATTCCTGCCCTTGATATTACATTTTTCACATTTTTTTTATTCAATTTTTTCATTGATATCTAAATTATGATTCCGATTTTTTTGTGGTACTTATCAATAACGACAGGTTAAATGACTCAAAAAATGTAAGTACATATCTTTCTTTTACTTTTATAATAGTATACTTCAATTTTTATACTTCAATTTTGTTAAAAAATTAATACACTATTTTCAAAAATTGCTGAGATAATTATTGTCACATATGTTTTGATTCGAAATCAGACATGGTTTTATATCCAATTTATTTTATTTACGAACACATACAGACGATTATTTACATGTAGAGTTTAGTATAAAGATAAAGTGTTTCGTACATCTTCATGATAAACATTCCGTATTTCAGTAATGTAACTAACTTAACTGCTTCTTGCTTAGAAAAACGGGAATTCCTCGATCACAACATATGAAACTGGTTGCCAGATTCATACATCAAACTTAACAAACAAAAACAAACTCTTAAATAATGATAAACGGGGAATACTAAACTTAATAGGAGTCATAACATCCTCCCCTCCTTTGCATTGCAGGCATGTTTTAATTTAAAGCAATGCAAAATGAAGTATGAAAATGTATGCATATAACAGACATAAATTTTAACACATGACATTACAATTATGAAAGCCTAAGAAAAAAGTCAATAACAGTTCATAAGTCCATACGTTTAACAGGCACTACTCGACGACCGCTGCGCGTTACCCTTACACTCTGCGGAATTTCGTTATCACAAGTTTCTGATTCTGGGATGGTCTCAGTTTTTTGAGGTACATCAATGAAGTTGTCGGCAGAAGTAAGTTCCAAAGGATAAATGTACTGGAGGAGCCGTATGATTTCACCACTGGCGACTCATAGTTTTGCAACACGTTCAATATTGTCTTTACCAGGAAACAGTTCAATTACCTGGGCTAAAGGCCAATTTATCCTGTTTGGATTCTTTGATTCAACTAGAACAATTTCTCCTGGAGAAATCGTTTTTTTCCGTGAAGATGATTTAGGACTTCTTATTAATTCTCCAAGATATTCCTTATAGAAACATTTTCGTAGATTTAGCCGTAAAGTATGAAGATAACGTACACGTTTCAGTAAGTGCTGAAATTCAATTAAAGTCAATTAAATCCAAAACAATGGTTTCTCGTTCCCCTAAATTTTGAATAAAGTGAGCAGGCGTAAGTGGTTTCAATTCGTTAGGGTCGTCTGACAAATATGTCAATGGTTCTTCCATTTATAGTGGCCTCACAATCAGTGAGCAAAGTCAACATTTCTTCATATGTGACACAGGATTTTCCCAAACACTTTCGAAGAAGTTCTTTGATACAACGAACCATTCTTTCCCCAAACCCGCCATACCATGGCGCAGATGGAGGGCTGAATATCCACCTGATTTTCATTACTGCACATTCTCTTTGAATGAAATTCCAGTCCAAAGATTTCAAAGCGTTTGCAGCTCCTGTGAAGTTGGTACCATTATCAGTATAAAGAGTAGAACATCTTCCTCTCCTTCGCCCAAAATCTGCGTAATGCTTGAATAAATGCTTCAGTGGTCAGGGAGGAAACTAGTTCCAGATGAACTGCTCGATAGACAGCACACGTGAAAAGGACAATCCACGCTTTGCTTCCTCCACGCAAGAAAAGAGGTCCAGCCAGATCTGCACCAGTTACTTGAAATGCTGCAACTCGTTGTATTCTGTCAGGAGGCAAAGGCGCTGAATCTGGGTTAACATTTCGTGAAGTTAGTTTCTTGCATTGTATACATTGTCGTAAAACTCTTCGAACAACTCTCCGTCCTTTCGGAATCCAAAATCTTTCTCTTAATTGCGTTAGTGTCGTTAATACTCCAGCGTGCATCAAAGAGAGGTGGGTATGCAATATCAATCTTTCTAGAACTGGATAGTCTGGAAAAACTATGGGACGTGTAAAATCCTCTGGATCTTGGCTAAGAATGAGTTTTGTCTGAACCTTCAGAATTCCATTTTCTGTGTAAAATTGTATCGTAGTGTTATACTTCACACGTATTTCAGAAGGCCATTCACACTGGATGATTTTTATCAGAGTATTTTCTGCCCTTTCAATCTCTTCACATGAAATCTCATTTCTCAGGTCTTGATGTTGTAACAAAATCTCAAAACATAAGCAGTCACGCGGAGAATTCTTTTGTAGCTTGAAAAGTACAGAAATCTTTAAGTGAATTTCCTTTCCTTTTCAGTAACTAAATTTATGACAAATGTTTTGCGTCTCCCCAGAAATGCTTGCTCTGGAATCGATAATTCCGATATTGGCCGAGACTCTTCACTTCCATACAACCAAGTTGGTCCCTGCCACCATTGACTCTGCAGAAGGTCCGACCAGTCACAAGTTCGGGTAGGTAAGTCTGCTGGGTTGACGTCTCCAGGAACATGTCTCCAATCATCTATATTGGTCAGTTTGCTGATGTCTTTCCCTCGATTTCCAATGAAGGTATTCCATGGTTCTGTGTTTGTAATCCATACTGTTTTTTAAAATATAGAATTTTTTCTCATAATTTTTACCAGGAACTTTATATATATTGTTACGTTTTTCTTCACGTACGCACGGGTTCATGCATTTGGAGTGATTAACGACGACATTTGATGAAGTATCAAAATACAATTAATTTTAGCCAGTATTATTCAAAACAGCTCCAATAACATGTTTACATTCGAAAAAGAACTACTATAAACACGCTGAAACAATCAGCGACGCAGCCTTCAGACTATCAGGTTATAACGGTGAAGATAGCTTCACTGCAAAGCACCAGAGTAGAGCTCCGGATTCTGCTCGGTCCATTCTCGGAACTCTATGTACTTTCGAGACTCTGCACGCTACAGCTCGCGATGCACTCGACGATATACTAGAGTGAAGCTCCCGACACTGTTCAGTCATTCCCAGAGCGCAACACACTCTAAGATGAAACTCGACTATGCACAAATTCGCGATACACTAAGAGACTCTTTCGATTCACTCGACGACGAGTTCGACACTAGACTACGAGACACTCGCTCACTGACTCGACTAGGCGCTCACTGACTGATTATCAATTCCCTAGACGAGACACTAGCTAACTGACTCGTGATCGACTCGCTAGACGAGACACTGACTATCTCTCCGCGCACCAGCAGGATTTATATAGCTTTTGGCTTGTATTCAAGAACATTCTGGGCTAAATCAGTAAGAATTCGTTAAAAAAGGTTTTCCATCCGTCTATGGCATATCGCCGATTTTGTCCTAAAATGGGCGATTTCTCGCCAAATTTGGCAACCCTATCTTGCATTGCCATTTTCTAGCAACCCTAAACCTGCTTTGCGGGGAAGCTATCTTACCGCGTCTGGACATTTCGTAACAATATTTTTAATTCCATCAATTAAATTTTTTTTTATAATTTTGTGCTCGTAGTAATCTAATTTTAAAATTTTTATATAATTTGTCCTCGTTAGTTTCTTTTGTTCTCTTTCGTTCCGTTAAAGAATTCATTTTATATACGTGTCCTCATTAAAAAAATAAATAAATAAAATAAAAGGACATTTTTAACACTTCATTTTTAAGGCCTTTTTTATCATAAAATTTGAATCTCTCTCAAAGTTCCTCGTTCAGGTATTAATGTTTTTAATACAGAATTTGTTTTCACCGTTTTTTTCAGATATTTTACTTTTATTAGAAAAGATCTGAAACTTCAGTTTGAAAGTTCGCGCCTATAAATAAAATGAGATTTGGAAAATCACTATTAGAAAAGATCTGAAACTTCAGTTTGAAAGTTCGCGCCTGTAAATAAAATGAGATTTGGAAAATCACAAAATTTTTAATTTAGCGATATCTTTTTTAATACTTTATTGGTTTTACACGCTTTCATATTAGAAAAATTACATTTTTCTTTTTTGTCCTCAAGGTGACTACGGGCAGGAATGTATTAACTACTAATAGGCATTTTCTTTTACATCTTCCGTTACAGCAAACCCTGACAAAAATGCATCGGGAGACGTAAAATCCATTTGAGTTATTTACTATTTTTACACTCATCTATTTTATGTGATATTTTTGAACGAATTTTTCATTCTCACTGCGTTGATATCGCTGAGAACTTTGAAATGTTTAATTTTCTAATTAATTTTTTTAATCTGAACTGTTTTTTATAGTAATACTAAATTTAACACAAGTTCGAAGACTTTGCTCTCAACAAGTGATTCTCAGTCTTCACTCATTGTGTTACAGTAATCGGATTCGGAGTGAAAAGCAACATTAATCATTATTTCAATTAATTTTTGTTACTGGATTTTAAGTCACCAGCGGTCAATTGAATGCTGTGTTTTTAAAGGAAAAATGAGTAAAAATCGTTTTACTTGATATCGAAAGCAGGTTACAAAATAATTAAAGAAGGCCAATGGATTTGCAAAGTTTTATAAACTACTTGTCTTTTAAAGTAGTAAATTTGATTTCATGTAAATTAAAAAAGACCATATGACAAAAGTTTCATAGTGTTCTGCTTTTATCATAAGGTATAAGGAAATCTAATTTACAATTTCAAAACGTACAAGAGAAAACGTACTGTCTCTTTTTTCGAAAACTACATACAAATAATGCATACATGATTAAATGAGAGGACAGTTATGCTAATTTGATTGGAAAGCTGAAATCTATAATTCCCGCTCAGAATATTATGAGCAAAATATAGGTTCCTGGATGTGATGTGAAATAGGTAAAATTTTACTTTCAATTTGATACAAAGAACGATAAGGAATTACTGTCTGCATATATGCTTAGAAAAGAACTAACTTGAACATTTATTTTACATATGATAAGAACCTTGTCAATAAATAGCCAAAATCATGCTCTTATAATAGCACAGCTTTATCTAAACTTTGCATAAATACGCCATTCATCGCTTACGTGTACAACAGAGCAATACTAAGTAACATGAATAAAGATTGGTCAAATGCCTGATAGATTATTATTAATGAGAAAGATGATTGGTTGTTGTAAAGGTTTATGTATACAGGTATGTAAATACAGAAAATAAATGTTCAAAAATAATTGGTTAAAAGAATAAAAAGGAAGAAGATGTATGGAAAAGATTAAAAAATGTATCGCCCGTCCTCGAGAAACGGATGCTAACAAATCTCCATTGTATGCAAAAGGGCGTCGATGTACTTTATTGATCTTTCCCCTAATCAGTTCTCTTTCGCAATATGCACGACACAAGCCCAGAGGAAAAATCCCGATGCAAAATTAACGGAAAGTCACGTTTCCCTCCTTTCTCAACAGACGCATGCGCTCTACCCCTTTCCTTTTATTCAGGAATTTCTTTCTTTTCCTCTTTTTCGCCAAATGTGGGACCTTCTGGTGGTGCCGACTGGGGAATAGCGGTGGTGGAGAGAAGGGCTCGAAACTCCGGCAGATTAATGTCCAATCAAGAAGATAGATGATGCAGGATAAAGGAACCACTGCACCAAGAATCTGTCTCGCTGACGAAAAGATGCGAGAAAGATCCTTCTCCCGGCCGGGCGGGGATGAGGGAATCTAGGGGAATCCTGTTCCGTCCAGGACGCGCGGAGGACTTGAAGGAAGTTCCTCCCGAACCATTAGTAGGGCTCATTCGGCATGAGAACATCAGTTTGTGCTCAAGGATCGCCGAGGCAGAACGAGGAAATGCAAGGGTGAGCCCCCTTCGCCTAAAAAGGCCACCAGCAATTGACATATGCAGATGACGCAGCATGGCGCCGTCGCGCTTTTTGCGGTCGCAATGCAATCAAGGGGCCATCATCTCTTCCCCTCCTATTCACGTTAGGCTCAAACTCACTTAGAATAAGAATGGAATAAGTTAGAGAGGGCATATTTAAATATTACTTCCGACCTTTTCTGAATGGAAAGCTTAAGATTGCTTTGGCTTGTTTTATCGGTGATATTTTTATTGCTAGTTTGCTTTTCAACTTTTATGCTAATTTAATAATCTTCATGCTTATTTTAATTCCAGTACGGGAAACAGTTCAAAGATCATTTGAATTTAACTGGCTGGTTGAAAAACTAAAACTTTGCTTTCTAAATGGAAGTTGTGGCTTAGATGTTAAAAAAATGTATTTTCTACGGATTTGTTGCTATGTGCTTTGTTAAGTTTAGCACAAGGTCTTCCTTTCCAGTTCGAAATGGGTTTCGTACTTCGATCCTGCACTGAAGTAAAGGGGCGAATGAATCTAGATGGTATAGCTCCGCACCTTAAATGTTATGCTGAGAGAGTTAAAAATGCAAGCAATTCTCCCCTATCAGACATACCACATTGCCTGCCATAACAGCTGATGAACCATTGCAACTTTCATTACGATGCAATGCGACGGCAAGAAATAGTCAGTTAGCCTTGTATAGCACATTTTTTAAAGTTAAAATGGAGCTTCTGTAAGATATCGTCACATGCCTGAGACTTTCGTCCTTTTCGTATATATGTATAAGCTGTATGAAAAAGAAATTTACTAATGTTTTATATATTTCTCCTTCTGATTATAATATGACTATATTTTCCAAACAGCATTTCGAGAAGGATAGTCGAGAAACATCGTCTAATTTCGAGAAACATCGTCTAATGTTTCGGGCAGTACAATATCACGGAAAGTTAATCATAACTTTTTAAGTTTGATTCCTTTCTCAGATTAAAAATGAATAGTTAACGCTGTTAATTTTATTTTGTCTTATTCCCAATTTTTTTCTCTGTATATTACAAACCTGATTTAACGTTCTCCAAAAGTATAATTTTCGGTCGTCATCGCATTTCAAAATGAAAAATTGCTGTCTAATCATATTTTAGGCTCAGAGAATCTGAGGAATCCGTTTCACTGCTTCTCATGTTGTAAGCCTGGATCCTAGCAAAATTGCATCAACAATATATCTTGCTGATGTTAACATTTTTACCCTTTTCTGCGAAGATTAATGATTCTTTGAAGTTCTGATGCAAGAGAGAAGCCCATATAACACTTCTTCCCTAGTCAAAGATTGACGATCGTTTGCACTTTCTCTTACTTTGTACAAAAATGGTAAAATACATTTTTTTTCCTGTGGTTTTTCCTTTCCAGTATTAATTGAGCTTTCAGATTGCTCAATAAGACTCTACAGCAATACGTATGTTTAGAAACTAACCTATGGAATATTTTTCAAATAGGTTTTGTGTGAAAATCATTCTGAAAAATTAGCAAAGAATTTATAAGCAGAAAGGAATTTACCTTTCACACATTTTAACTATTTTCAGTGTAAAATTAATTCTTCCTTTCATTAAAACTGGCATCATGTTTTCACCATCCCGCCAGAAACCGAGTGAAAAGCCATTAAATATTGAAAGTTCGACATAGTTTTAAATTCTGGCAAAGCGGTTGACTGTATAAGAGCTTTTATGGCGTTTCCCATTTGTAACGAGAATACAAGCCATTTTCCCATAAAAGATTTCCATGAAGGCATCTCTTTGTTTTTCCAGATAGCCTACGTATGCTTTATGATAATCTCAATATTTATTGTACGCATAGAAATTCAATGTTAATTAATAGCCCAAAGATATTTTTATGGAATGATATCGTGATATTTTGAAGGTAGCTATAATATCATATATTCTTGCAAATATGAATATGGTATCAGGCTAAAAGTTTGCTCTAGAAATATAGCCAAGTAAGCCTTAATTACCGATAAAGCTTTTACTGCAAAAGATAATTTCCCTCGCTGTGCTTCATGTAAAATAATAAATTAAATAAAATACACGAAACATTTAATCAAAATAATGGACTTTGTTAAACAGTGGAAACTGGATTATCGGGCAACTTTTAAACTACAGCTTTTAATCGTCTGAAAATCCTTAAGATATTCCTTAAGCCTATCCACCTAAAAAACAAAGAATAAAAATCAGTACAACTGCAACATAATTATCATAATTTAAAGTATGCTATAATTTGTATAAAATGATTCATTATTTTGTCACCGTAGTTAGGAAATGGACAAGATGCAGTTCTGAATAATACAGTATTGTACTATCAAATAATATTTTATTTAAAATATTTCTATCAATTTTCGTACAAATTAGATTGCATGTAACATTAGTAATATTAAAGTGCACATAATATACAGTTATTAGATATGAAAGTGCATACAATACTTAGATACTGTAAGTGATTCAACTGTACACTGCATTTTAACTACAGAGTAGCTGAAATGAGAAGAATTTGTCTTACTGTCTAGAGCTATTTATTGCAATTTATATGTACATACTTACATATATACTTGTATATAAATTCATTCATATATATATATAAATTCAGTCAAAAAAATTAAACAATTAAACTCGGTACATATACAACTTAGAATAAACAAATAGTAATATGTGAATAAATTTTTCTGCAAAAGAAATAAACCATTATAAAATAGCAAGAAAATGTGTCCAGTTTTGAAGTCCAAAAAGTCAAAAATGTATTAATGCAAGAATTTAAAAAATAAAAATTAAAGAACTTACATTTCAAGGTATTTCTCCCGCCTTCTTAGCATGCCTTCGTCATGTAGTGGTCAGCACTCTCGGCGTGTATTCAAGAGGTCCGAGGTGTATTCGAGCATTGAATTGAATCTTATTTAGCAAAGAATAATAATATACCTTTTGATTTCAATAAAGATATGGAGCTGTAAATTAAAAAAAAAAATTTAAACATCTTCTATTCAACACTTATTATGGAACCATATTCATTGAAAAAAGTACATAATATTTGTGAGCTTATTGTTATCTTGTGGACTTATTGGCATCAAGTGACTTCAACCAATATCTTCATTCGATGAAAAGGACTTTACAACAAAATTTTACTTTTAAATGGACATTTTGAGAAAAATTGAGGACTTTTATGATTGTAATTTATTATTTATTCTTCTTCTTCTATATATTATTGTCTTATAGTTCTAAATTTAGTTATAGATTATATGTTTATTTATAAATCATAGTTATATAATTCAAAAATTTTCTAATTATATGAGAAAGATCATGATTTATGATAGGGCACATAGTTAAGCCTGTAAGCTATGTCCTGGATGTTTTTCCTCATACTTCCTACTTCACTAATGTACTAATGCTTTGCTCGCCCGGCCTCTTGTTTTTGAGGGGGGGGGGGAAGATGTAAAATACAAAAAATAGGACGACTCTATGAGAACAAACAACCTCTAATTAACTTTCTGCAATTTCAGGATCTTCTCCTTAGATTAGTACTTTCGAGAACATTCCAGCCTATTACGTAACCGCTTCTATAAATAGAGAACTCGCGCCATTTTGCGACAGAGACCTCCCTTTGCTGCTAAGATCTGTGCTGCTGCTCTTCTGCCTTTCTTTGTTAGAATACTATGACGCAGTGAAATTAATTTATTTAGTAGAGATCGATGATATGCCTTTCAATTGAATAAAGATGTGGAATCAAAACAATTAACTTCTGTGTCATCATTTCTGCCAAGCTTCATTCATGTGTCCGACTGCCAAAATATTACACACACACACACACACATATATATATATATAATGGCTAATTAAAGAAAGGAGAACAAACTAAAAAAGACCTTTGTGGTCAAGAATTTTTGCGCATTGAGCTGCAAAAATTAGAAAATAAGGTAAAAAGAATATTTTTAGTGTTTCCACTAAAAAGTAGCTTTGATACTGTGGTTCCGGTGAAAAAATTTAACATAAGTAAAATAAAGTGCAATGAAAAGTGTAAATATTAAATAAACAATATTATCACTAGAATATTTGCAAATAAAATTCAAATCTAATTGTAAGTAAAACGTTAATCAAGGTAAGGCAAACCTTAAACAATAGAATAAAAGTGTGACATCAGACTTAAGGCAAAAATACAAAAACAAAACAGCTAATTTTATAGCAGTGATACTTAGCATAGGATTATTATTTGAAAGTTTATTATCATTTCTGTATAATTAACAGTTACACATTTACTTTCGGTGCTACAGTATCATGTATTTTTCATTTCTTTCAGGAAATGTGCAGTTTCAAATGTCCGTCATGTCAGTTTCGGCTAACAGAATAAATAAACATCTTGATATCGCCGAAGGCCTTTAGTGTTTGATATATCTTATAATATGTGCTCAAATCGCCGATTGCTAGCATGAAATGGTTGCGTTATTGTATTATGAGTTGTCCAAGATATTTAAAGATGCCTAGCATCATCCAAAGCTTGTCGGAAGCTTGAAAGCTTGTATTGAGTTCCTTTGTAAAGTTCAAATGCTCCCCGTGCATAACTAATATTATATGATTGTCTGAGATGAAACCAGTGGTCTTTGAATCTGTTAGTCTAAAGATAGCGAGAATATTTTATTATGAAACCCACATGCCTTGAAAATAGTTCAGCAAGAATCGTTACAACGGCATTTTCTTTCTCCGGAACTCCTGAATTCGTCCCTTAACATTATCTAATTTTCTTTAGAGGTATAAGTGCATAATATTAATTATAGTAATAGTATATAATTCGATATACTGAATAGTAGACCCTGTTTCAATAGAGAAATCGAAGATGCAATGAAATATTGTAAAAGGTCTGCCTTTTCTTGTTATCACATTAAAATACTGTTGTGAATTTTTTCAAATTTATTACTTTTTCCGACACATTTAAACTAATTGACAATTTTAATTTCAACATCTGTACTTGAATTTATAATTAAAAATTACCTTGAAATTATGCAGTGATTTGATAATAGTTCTTTACTCTAAAACATACGTATAATTCCAAAATTTAAACTTTGAAGAAATTTGAGAGAGAAACAAATATCGTTAATTTTCTGACATAGAAAACGCTTCTCCCGGTACGAATATTCCGGACATAAAAAATAATTAAATTCATAAACAAGATAATATCTCAAATAGATTTATTTCACTTTTCCTCATGCCAGTACCAGGTTTTCCATCCGTTTGCTAATCAAGCTGCTCGGTGGTGAGGAGAGAATGAAACGAACGGCGACATCCTTCCTTCTCTTCCTGTCATCCGAGGCGTTGGTAGTTGACGTCGAGAAGATGGCGGAGCAGCCACGAAGGAAAGGGGGTGGAAGCCCAGGAATCCAAAAAGCTAGGGGGTGGAGAAGGGGGAGGAAAACAAGTGGTCTTGCCTTCTGTGGCTGTTAATGAACACCAGGGGGAAAGAAGTGAGGGGAATGGGTTGAGGAGGTCAGAGACGTTAATATCGTCAGGCTCTTTAAGCATGCGGGTATTTCTCCTCTCCTCAACCCTGTTTTGATCTCCACCCCCACAAGAGGGGACGAAACCAAACCATTCGTTTAATTGATGACGGTTAAACGAGCTTACTCTACACTCCCCCGCTTTTATTCTGCAGGTGAAGAAAAAAGTGTTGCCAAAGGGAAAAAAGCGCCAGGTGTTAACTCGTGAAAATCATCGGAGATGTTTCGTAACTTCATTGTATGGAGAGGGTTTTATCTTTCGTCATTGTTGAAAACTAGGAGATGATTCTGATTTGAGAAAAATATTTATCCCTTTAACATTAAAAGTTTATTCACTGATCTGTGGTCCTGAGTCGTATACGTTATGCACTACAATAAGTATTGCTAGAATTTAAAATTTTCTTAAATATGAATGCGATATCCTTCATATAAGAATTATATAATAATACTAAACATTTACTTAATACATGAATTTTTAATCAAACAAAATTTGAAATCTGCTTTTAATTAAAAATAAATTTAAGAGGACAGTTTTATAAAGTACCTTAATGTTTATTAAGAAGCTACACATGGAATTTAATAAATTTAGTGCTTTATTGGACATGAAAACTCATTCTTGAGGTTCATTTTATGCATTGAACGATTAACAACAATTGAAAACGTGTTATTTCAACAGTCAAGATAAAAAGGTACTAGACAATTATTAAACAAAGAAAACTACATCCTCTCCGGACAATTTCTTATTTAAAGAAATTTCGTATTTAAAAAAATTTATTATAAGCACACTAAATATTGAAAAGATTTAGAATATAAGGGATATTAGAGATTCAAGACCACTGAAATTACAAGAATGGTATCCCTCTTTTAGTAAACACTTGAATTAGACTTTATAAAAACTAATTTTGCCAAAGTTTTGTGGTAAATTATTTAATTATTAAAACCTGTTTTTCCCAATGTTTTGTGCTAAATTATTTAATTATTGAAACCAGTTTTTACAAACCTTTGTGCTAAATTATTTAATTATTAAAACCAGTTTTCCCAAAGTTTTGCCCTAAATTATTTAATGACCTTTGAGGCAAGAAATAAATGTAGCAGACAAGGAAATGCAAAATGTGCCAAAATTGCAAATTTATGCTCGAAAATTACAAGTTTTCTAATTGGATTCCTTTTTGCTTCCTTGGGCGAAATAAAGGAAGTATTGTAATCGCGAAAAATTTCGTGTATCATATTTCAGCGAAAATATCCATTTTCACCGCTTCCTTTTTACTTCTTTGGGCGAAATAAAGGAAGTATTGTAATCGCGAAAAATTTCGTGTATCATATTTCAGTGAAAATATCCATTTTCACCGCTCTCGAAAACATTTGAACGATGTTTTTGCGCTACATCTGTACGTATGGACAGAATAAAGGACTGCTTTTGCCAAAAATTAATATAAATTGGATTTAAAATGAATTCATTCAGAAGAGACTTTTCCTTGACATTAGTACATACATACGTATGTATTATTATAGTTATTATTATTAGTACATACATATGTATTATTATTAGTACATACATACGTATGTATTACATATATACGTATGTATGTATGTACATACATACGTATGTATGACATTAGTACATACATACGTATGTATGCACCTCGCATAATTCAAGAATGAGCAGTCGTAGAACATTGAAATTTTTATATGGGACTGCTACAACATTTAGTGTGCACACGCCGTTTCGTTGCAATCCGCTGCACCAATCATAAATATATATATATATATATATCAAATGTTGCATGATATTAAAATTCACTTAGTTCGAAAACAAGTTATTCTAATACTTGCGCAATAGCTGCAAAGTAAGATAATAATAATTTATTTACTAAAGAAATATTGATTATATTATCTCCTAATATTAATTTAGTAAAAGTATCTAAAAAGAGTGAACCCAGAGGTAGGAAGTTTAATTCCGAAAATTGTTTTAAAGTAACTTGAATGTAAATTGTTAAAAATGTTGTACAGGGACTTGAAGTAAATCATGAATAATAAAATTTCAATTGGAAAAAGAAATTAAATTAAAAGCATGTAATTATTGCTATTGATCGGAAATTAGTTAACTTTTCAAGGGGAACAAACCAACTGCCGTTCAATGAACAATAATTAATAAATAAATACGAAGGTGTTTAATCTTTTACTCAAGTAATAATGGTGATGCCAAATTGGCAAATTAAGTTAAGCCAAATATTTCCGTGAAGTAAAGGTATTTAGAACCAAAGTAGAGTACCAAAGAACTCCTTCTTATTAAGCATTTTCGCTAAGACAATTTTGAATGAAAAGCAATTTATGTAGTAAAATTGTGCCTTTAGTTAATCTGAATGCAATAGTTGCAGAATTATCAACAATTTAAAAGTTTAAGTAGCGAGTTAAGCCTCACGAACCGCCATTTACTTACATTTGAAACTGAGTAGAATAGTCAATTATGTGAAATTCTGCACCTTCAGTGTCTTTTTACCATAAGTAAACTTTCAATTTTGTGCACCGAAAAATACGCCTTCTTGTCCGCTGGCCGAAGTCCTTGTTTGTGTGCCTAAACTATAATTAAAAAAATTAACTGTTTTAACTGTATTTGGTGCTCTGTGTGTTTGCGATTAGACAGCATTTTAACATGGTTCAGCAAACGCGAAAGTATTTATATTTATATGATATAGGTGATGTGTCTTGAAGTCACGAGGACAGTCCGGTTCAGGGATGAGTGTGATGTTCCTGCTTCGATAAATATAAGCTTCGTCCGTACCAGACGTCATAATTTTTCATCTATTGTGAATTTAGATAAAAATGAGTTGCATAAAAGATTTCAGTTTCTCTCTTATCGATTTCTATAACCGATAAATTTTTCAGTAATTTGAATTTTTTCATGCAATATCTATCATTGATGTCACTTTATTTTCTGATTTATAATTATCTAAAACTACTTGAAAGTTGAGAGTACCATTTCCAACATAAGCTCTAACCAAACGTAGTAACATACAAGATAAGTGTATGTTATTTTTTATGAGAACCATAAAAATTAAAACCTTATAGAGGAACGTTTTTATTGAATTGTGTATTGTGAGTGTTGAATGTATAGTCGGCGATAATGAAATGATTCCAATAATAATTATTTTCAAAAATTAGACATTACGATGTTTTGCATCTGTGACAAAGCAGTAAAATTAGAAAGAATTCTTT